GCTCTGCGGAATGCTGGTCCTTCACACGCCGCGTTAACCGCCAAAGTGAAGAGAACCAGAGATGGAAATACGGACCGTCGTTAGAACAGTAATTTAATTTTTCTTTCTTTCTTTTTTTTTAAGGTACCTTGACACAGGGTCATCTTGCAACCATCAGCGGCCGGAGGGTACTACCGCTTCCTTCGGCTTCTAAAGAGCACGGCTGCGCCTCGTTATCCAATCACAGCATCTACAATCCACCAGGTGCAGGCTCATCAGTTTGTTAATTAGTACACACACACGATCATTGCAGACTATTGTCAGTGCAGCTAAAGGAAAATTCCAGCAACTCTTATACTGAATTATGCTGCAAATACTGATCACATCAAATCAAATCACCAACAAACACTACACGAAGCAGCAACTCATTGTTTGCCTCTTTCTATTTGGATTTTCATTCCTCCTGGTTGTTTAACTTTTATCATTTATTTCTCTGTTGACTGTGAACTTAAAGAAGAACTGTCCTATATTCATTTAGCTACTTCCACTTCCACTACAATAACAGTAACAGGATGAAAATACTGTATAACGAACGACTGTAAACTGAGAATCAAAGGGAACATAAAATATGAATTGACTTACTGCACTTAATGTGTCTTAGTCTTTAGTGCTGTATATTGATGGTATAAACACTGAGTCACAGGCTTTACACTTTAAACTACAGTCGTATTATTGTCTGGTATAGTTGTACAATATTCTCTTTATTGAATTCCTTAGACTTGAAGGTGAGGGAACGACAGTGCAGTCATGTTAAATTAAGTGTAACTAAAAGAACGCAATTGGTTTTCACCCCAAAGATTCCTTATACCATTTTTTTTTTAAGTTAGTAATCTTCTTAGTTTCACCATGTCACAGATTAGACTATGGACTTTAGCAGAAGATAAATTGAGCAGCCATTATCATCAGTACCACAGGTCCATAATCTCAGGTCTATTGGTTCCAAGATACAGTAAGTCTAAATATAATATATGAATAAGAAACATAAATATCCCTGAGAAGGGCAAACCTGCCATTTTAATGATGCGCTTCAAAGAAAGTCTGCTTTTGCGTTTCACCTTAGCTGTCCTGTACACGTGTATCCTAGAAACAAAAGAAAATAAGTTTATTAATTAGTTAACAATACTCTGAGAACCGTTTCTATGATTTCTGGTTTTGTAAAGTTGTAAGGGAAACTTTGAACATTATAAAAAAATAAACACAATTATAGATTGTTGCTTATATTATTTTGGTAGTTTTAAGTGGCCACAGCAGACAAACATTTGTGATTCATCCACCTATCCTTAAAAAAGCATGTCCGAAAACCTATTCTATGTGATCCAAACTAAGGAGAGCAATATTGATACTCTGCGAAATATCTTATATCATAATAAAGAGAGTGTAGTAGTACATGAAGTACTGTATACCCCAAACCAAACAAACTGTACATTGAAATATAAAATAACTGATTTGATTAATTCTGAGATAGCTTTAAGTTCCTCGTCTTTGCCATGGGAAACGGCTGTAGAAATAGGGATAACGAAGACCACTATCAAAATCCATGAAAATTTGATGTAGACCTTAAATATTGTCCCTGCACACACCCTGCACAGACGTTTCTTTTCCCGTGTCGTCCTTGCAAATGCTATTCATAGAGCTCCGAGAATTTGGACCTTGACCAGAGTGACTGTTGTCTGTGGCTGACGAGGGTGCTGTCTATTACGTCTGTAGCCCAATCACGTCCTCCAGGTGGTTCTGAGAGAGATGGGCTTCTCTGGTCCGCTGCTGTTGTACAGAGCTTGGATCTCATCGGTCGTAGCCTGGATGTTAGCCTCCACCACCTTCTCCATCATCCTCTTTCCACTGTCACCCACAAGACGTCTTGTGGGTG